TTCTTCAAATAGCCACCCTTTGCCTTGACAGCTTGGCATTCTTGGCATTCTCTCAACCAGCTTCACCTGGAATGCTTTTCCAACAGTCTTGAAGGAGTTCCCACATATGCTGAGCACTTGTTGGCTGCTTTTCCTTCACTCTGCAGTCCGACACATCCCAAACCATCTCAATTTGGTTGAGGTCGGGGAATTGTGGAGGCCAGGTCATCTGATGCAGCACTACATCACTCTCCTTCTTTGTAAAATAGCCTTACACAGCCTGGAGGTGTGTTGTGTCATTGTCCTGTTGAAAAACAAATGATAGTCCCACTAAGCCCATACCAGATGGGATGGCATATCGCTGCAGAATGCTGTGGTAGCCATGCTGGTTAAGTGTGCCGTGAATTATAAATAAATCAGAGTGTCACCAGCAAAGCACCCCCACACCATAACACCTCCTCCTCCATGCTTTACGGTGGGAAATAAACATGCGGAGATCATCCGTTCACCCACACCGCGTTTCACAAAGACACGGCGGTTGGAACCAAAAATCTCAAATTTGGACTCCAGACCAAAGGACAAATTTCCACCGGTCTAATTTGTAAGTCGCTCTGGATAAGAGTGTCTGCTAAATGACTTAAATGTAAATGTAATTGATGTTGAGATGTGTCTTTGACTTGAACTCTGTGAAGCATTTATTTGGGCTGCAATTTCTGAGGCTGGTAACTCTAATGAACTTATCCTCTGCAGCAGAGGTAACTCTGGGTCTTCCATTCCTGTGGCGGTCCTCGTGAGAGGCATTTTATCATAGCGCTTGATGGTTTTTGCGACTGCACTTGAAGAAACTTTCAAAGTTCTTGAAATGTTCCGTATTGACTGACCTTCATGTCTTAAAGTAATGATGGACTGTCGTTTCTCTTTGCTTATTTGAGCTGTTCTTGCCATAATATGGACTTGGTATTTTACAAAATAGGGCTATCTTCTGTATACCACCCCTACTTTGTCACAACAACTGATTGGCTCAAACGCATTAAGAAGGAAAGAAATTCCACAAATGTACTTTTAACAAGGCACACCTCTTAATTGAAATGCATTCCAGGTCACTACCTCATGAAGCTGGATGAGAGAATGCCAAGAGTGTGCAAAGCTGTCATCAAGGCAAAGGGTGGCTATTTGAAGAATCTCAAATATAAAATATAATTTGATTTGTTTAACAATGTTTTGGTTACGACATGATTCCTTTTGTGTTATTTCATAGTTTTGATGTCTTCACTATTATTCTACCATGCAGAAAATAGTACAAATAAAGAAAAACCCTTGAATGAGTAGGTGTTCTAAAACTATTGACCGGTTGTGTACACACCATCCATATCTCACACACAGGTATGTGCGCAATCAGGTATGGAAGCATGCCTGAATGCACACACACACACAAACGCAAGCACACACATACCTTTCTCTCTCAACAGCCTATCTGTCCAGAAAACCTAGCACAAACACAGTCATTCAACTGTTCCTCTCCGACAATTGTGCATTGATTTGGTTGTTATTTGGTATGTCTGTGTGTCAAAAGGTTTTGCTTTTGGTATTCAGTTTTGGCTATTTCACGACATTCTTGACCAAAGAAACATTTGGAAGCTACATTTTCACAGTATTATTTCCAACCACCTAATGAAAAAACCCCAGAGCACAACAAAAATAACCCAGAGAAGATATGAAAATAGGCAATAAATCACCCCATCATCCCCATTACAAGTAGAAAGCAATGAGACAAAGTCATACAGCAATCGACAGGCAGACCATTAAAAGCAAAAACGAAAAATATATATTCTTAAATTCAGTTTAGTGAGGTCATTAGCTATTCCTCCGTCCAGGAAAAGGGTGAACAAAGTGAGGTCACAAATGGAGGCGGGAGGAGAGAGTGAGAGAGGAAGCCTCTCTGTCTCAGGCTGACAGACTCTAAAGACTCCTCCTCTTCCTTATCTTCCTCCTCCTCTTCTTTGTCCACGACGTTTTGTATTTGGTTTCTTATCTGTTCAGTTTAGTCGCTCATACGTAGGTTTTGGTAAGGTTATTTTTTGGTTTTGGTCCTTCGTTCCAGCTTTCTCCTCCGTTTTCCCCTGCAGTTTCCAACAGATCCTCTTTTTGCCTTTGACTCCTCTGGGCAGTCTTTTTGTTTTCTTCTCTTCTTCTTTCTTTGGCCCTTTGACCCCATCTTTCGAGGCAAAGGAGAGGGGCAGAAGGGATGGAGGGCAGGGGGTTGGGAGGGATGCTGTCCCTTTTTTTTTGGGTGTGGAGTCGTCCTCTGTTATGGGGTGTTTGGTTTTTGACACGGCTGAGGTCTCTGTCTGAACACTTGTTTCCCGGCTCTTCCGGCCGGGAGAAACAATGCTTTGGTATCCAAGAGTGACTGACTAGAAGTGAATGATATGAAGTCGGTGGAATGATATGAAAATTATATTTTTTTAAACAGGCAAACGAATATAATGAAAAGGCATTCAAGATTATTTAGCTTCAACATCTCGATACATTCTAGTGTAGTCTGGTGTGTGTGTGTGTGTGTGTGTGTGTGTGTGTGTGTGTGTGTGTGTGTGTGTGTGTGTGTGTGTGTGTACGCATGTGTGCTTAAAGCTACAGGCAATAGAGTACATTTTGGTGTTTGTATATACATTGATAAAGATGAGCAAAAAATACTGTATAAAAGAAATTATACAAATACTGTGCTACATTGTTTGCAAAAAAAGTGTGGAAATGATATTATTTTATACTAATACAATTGCTCAGAGAAAATCTTTTTTTCAAGAAAAGATAAGGGTCAGAATTATTCACACCCCTGTTTTTAATACTCTAGCACCCTCCCCTTGCAAGGATAACTACACTGAGCCTTCAAACAACAGGTTTTCAATGGGATTCAAGTCCAGAGACTGAGATAGCCATTGCAAAATTGTGATTTTGTGGTAAATTAACAATTTCTTTGTGGATTTTGATTTGTGTTTGGGGTTATTGTCTTGCTGGAAGATCCACTTGCGGCCAAGTGTCAGCTTCCTGGCAGAGGCAACCATGTTTTTGGTTAAAATGTCCTTGTTCTTGGTAAAGTTAATGATGCCGTTGACCTTAAGAAGGTCCCCAGGATCAGTGGAAGCAAAATAGCCCCATAATATCAATGATCCACCACCATATTTTAACATTGGTATGAGGTACTTTTATGCATATGCTTCTGTTTTTCAAAACCAAACCCACCACTTGTGTGCGGGGCCAAAGAGCTCTATTTTCATGTCAATTTACCATAGCACCGGTTCCAATTCAAGTGCCAATGCTGTTTATCAAACTCCAGGCGGTGCTATGATCAGATGACATGAAAATAGATATCTTTGGTCACGCACAGCCGTGGTGGGTTTGACGTTGAAATACAGAAGAATATGCAGAAATGTACCTCATACAGTAAAATACGGTGGTGGATCTTTGACGTTATGGGGCTATTTTGCCGCCGGAAGTGGATCTTCCAGCAAGACAATAACTCCAAGCACTAATCAAAAACCACATAGAAATGGTTAATTGGCCACAAAATCAACATTTTGCAATGGCCATCTCAGTCTCCGGACTTGAACCCCAAAGGATATCAAGGATCTGGAAATATTCTGTATGGAGGAATGGTCTAACATCCCTCCCAACGTGTTCTCCAATCTCATAAAACATTTTAGAAAAAGGCTCAGTGTCCTTATCCTTGCAAGGAGAGGGTGCTAGAGAATTGAAAACGGGGGTGCCAATAATTTTGACCCCTATCTTTTTTTGATTTTTTTGTATTACTTGTTAAACAAAATCTCTTTCTCTGAGCAATTATTAGTATAAAATAATATAATTTCCTAATTTATTTAGCATACAATATAGCCCAGTATTTGAATTATTTATTTTACACAGTCATTATTGCTCATATTTATCAAGGGTGTCAATCATTTTGGACCCCACTGTACATAAGAAGTTATGAAACAAAGGAGGTAACAATATCTCATCATATTAAACAAATGTTGAAGTTAATAACCCTAATTATGATGATGATAATTATGATGATCATGACGATTCAATGAGAAACATTTGAAATAAACAATGGAAATGGATTAAGAAAATAAACCACAAAATAAGTTGTAAAGTTACTAATTGTTAATTGTCTGAGGTGACTGCTAAATCCACAACACGGTTTCGTACTGTAAATAGGTTGAAACTGGAGAGCCACTGGAGAGGTAGGCAAAGATATGTGGGAGGACTGACACTACTAAAGATACCTATATCAAATCATAGCTCAAATCATATAAAATACAAAGAAAAGTGTTGCAAAATTTAAAAAGAACATATTACGATGAAATGATACATGTTTTTGGCGTTTTTGAGTGTGGTTGATGTGCTGATCCTGGACAGATCAGAATCATAAGTCTTTTAAGTAAAGCTTTTCTCTCCGGTTTTTTTGGTTTCAGTTTTTGGTATTTCGGTTTTGGAGATTTTGGCATGTTTGTCATTTTTGTCTTTGTGTGTTTTTCCCTTGTAGGTTTTATTATTTGGTTTTCTTTCCATCTATCCGCTGAAGCTTGTTGAAAGTCTTTCCTTCCTTTCCTGTCCTTGCCACCCATTTCTCACACAAAGTCTTAGTTAAGTTCTCATCCCTGCCCTCTTTTTCATCCAGTTTTTTCAGCTCATTTGTTCTTTTCCAAAGGAGTAAATGTACATTAGCATTCACTGCCGACAAAACTCTACACAATGCCACCTCTCCAACTGTATAGATAGATCATTTTTTTGGTTTAAATCTCCCCGTTCTCCTGTTCTCTCCTCCTCTCCATTATTCCTCGCTCTCTTCTTCCTCTTTCAATCTGTGTATTTTTTGGCTTCGAAAGACTCCGGGAGAGAGAGCGGAGGTGACAAATGGAGGGAGAGAGAGATGGCTTTGGTTGAAAGGCGAGGTTTTTCTGTAAAGCTCCACTAAAACTCCTCCTCCTCCTCCTTCTGATAGGATCCTTTGGGTTGTGTCGTTGTCACTCGGTCATGGCCCCGCCAAGCGGTGGCGGTGAGGCTTCGCTGAACGAGCAGAAGGAGGCAGGGCTGGAGCAGGGAGAGGCGGAGCAGGAGTCGACGTCCATGCCGCCGGCGCCATGGGGCGGAGAAGCGCCCCTGGGACCGCCAACCAATCCCACGTCCGCTTGGTGGGACGCCATAGGCAGGAGGGTGTGGCGGTTTAGGAATAGGGAGGGGCGAACCCCAGCCCCGCCTAGGATCATCTGACCTCCAGCCTCAAGACTGGAAATGGGCAGCTGCCCACCACTGGCAGCCAGAGCTGAGCCATGATAGAGTTACAGGGGACGGGGTGAAAGATGCAGGTTGGAGGATTTATGGGGAAAGAGAAAGGTAGAGGAGAAAGAATATAAGTTAATACACCTACCAGAGATACATGGGCATCGATTTGGTACATGGGCATCGATTTGGGTGACACTGTAACTGATGACATGGTGAGATGAAGGATGGTGATGACGAAGGTGAGATATTGCAACAGATGAGAGAAAGTAGTGTGACTAAAGCAAGGAGAGCTTAGTCAGTCAGAGCTTGCAGGAAAGCTAACTCACACTTGGCACAGACGCAAAGACACACACGGCACTCACATGATCTACTTGGTGGTGGTATGGATGGGATGGTGTGAAGACATGCAATTTCAATTTATTTGAAATGTTGAAATGATAGCAAATTGAGGCACATCTTCCTTTCTGACTTGAGATCTGCACGGTTAACTCAACATTTTCTCCTATTGTCATCAATGTATGATTTATGCTAGAGTCAGAATTGCGCGTGCTTATTACAAGTCAGAATACCAATCTAAAATCTCGATACACACTTTTGTCAGACTAACACACCTTGCATTGTGGCCAGGGGATTGCTGCTGATGAGAGCCTGGTTCATCCCTGTGCTTACTCCCATCATTGTGTTCCTAGAATATGTATGGATCCATATTCATCCATGTGCACGTACACACATTCAAACACACACACATTCAAACACACACATATGCAGAGATAGTGAAAGGACCAAGAGGGTTAAGTGAAAGCTCATTAATCAAATGACCTAATCTTTGTCTGATATGGAAACACAACATGTTTTGAATGTATGCATTGGCCTGGTTCTGAGTCTGTGTTGACTAGCACGTCTATGCCTGCAGACATATCTGCATGTTTCTTCATATGTGTGAGAACTTGCAGATTTGCTGCAAAACAGGTGGGGTGACTTGACATACCACATGTAGTCCCGTACCATGAATTCCCAGCAAGTCAGTAAATATCACCACATCCAGTTTATTGTTCGCATACACAGTTTAGCAGATGTTATAGCGAATGCAGCGAAATGCTTGTGGTGCAGCGAAATGCTTAAGTCTCAGAATGTCAGTTACACTAGGTACTGTAGCTGATTGTCATTGCGTGCATGTTGGTGTTTATTTTATCAATCTATTCAACCTGAATCTAACTAGGTAGGTCAATTGAGAAATGATTCTCATTTGAAATGACAACCTGGCAAAGTGGTGAAACACAGAAAAGTGTGTTGAGGATTCAGTGTTCGGAGTCAGTGTTAGATTGAGCATATGTGCAGTACTCGTTGACTGTGCAAGGGACAGAGAGAGGATAGAGGAGATCACAGAATTTGAATTATATAATTAGGGGACACTAACCCAGCATCTACTATCAAAGTGTATTTGTTGAGTATGAGGGATTGTTCAGTGTTAGATTGAGTAAGTGTAGAGTAGTAGTTGAGAGTTAAGAGGAGAGAGACAGAGAGAGAGAGAGAGAGAGAGAGAGAGAGAGAGAGGACACTCACCCAGCGTTCAGGCTGTGGGCACTGAGGGTGGGAGGGGCGGGGCTGGCTGTGCTGTGTGGAGGCGGAGTCACAGAGGAGGGGGCGGAGCTCGTAGTTGCAGAGCCACTGGGGGTCAGAGGGCAGGTCGCCGAGGGCGATGGACTGGTCACTGAGAAAGAGAGAGAGAACCATCAGTAATATGAATGGTATACAGTACATTTGGTTACATTGATTACAGGAAGTTGGTGGTACCTTAATTGGGGAGAACGGGCTCGTGGTAATGACTGGAGCGGAATCAGTGGAATGGTATCAAATACATCAAACACATGGTTTCCATTATTATGAGCCGTTCCCCTCAGCAGCCTACTGTGACATTGATAGGTTGTCCCAATGCCCATGGTACTGGGTTTGAGAACCATCTGCACTCGTCTCTATGTCTTAGTCCACTAAAGGGAATTTAGACCTCTGGCACTTGTGGCCTAGCTTCACAAAAACACAAATGTATACAAAAATCATTTTCCTCACCTGTTGTGCTGAGGCTGGTGGCAGCCTGGTGCAGCCCCTGACTAGACATCTGGAGGGAGAGGAACAGAAAGAAAGAAAGAAAGAAAGAAAGAAAGAAAGAAAGAAAGAAAGAAAGAAAGAAAGAAAGAAAGAAAGAAAGAAAGAAAGAAAGAAAGAAAGAAAGAAAGCGAGAGAGAAAGCGAGAGAGAAAGCGAGAGAGAGAAAGCGAGAGAGAGGTGGAGAGGTTGTGAGCAGGAGAGAGACAGAAGAAACATGCTCTCGTGGTGTAACTGATGACGTGTGGGGTTGGTGTGTAACATATCACACCTCATACAACAGTGGAGTCATTTGCACGGCGCTGAGAGTGGAGCAGTGCAGGAGGGGTTAGGTCACAGGGTCACACATAGGGTCATGCAGAGGGAGGGGGCATGTCCATAGATACAGAGAGTCAAATATATATTCCTCTCATGATGACTTGTATTTAGACAGTTTGTTTCCAAACTAAGGAACAGGGAGGCAAAGGACCAAAGGCCTGCCAATGACATGCATGGTGAGGGTTGGTGGGGAGGGTGGGGTGAGTGTGGGGTCATACCATGTGCGGGCTGTAGCAGGGGGGTTTGTGCATCACAGAGGGGGGCTGGCTGGGCAGGGGAGGGGTGGCGCTGCAGGGGTTGATACGTTTCTCTTTCTGGCGCCGGTTGCAGAACCAGACCCGGATCACCTCCTTCTCCATGTTGAGCTGCCTGCCCATCAGGAGGATCTCCTCTGAGTTAGGCTTCTGGTTCTGAAGGGAACACGGTCAGAAATCATGGTCAAACATGTTGTCACAGGCCACAAACATTTTATACCGCATAAATCTGACATGTTGTCAATGTTACTTTCAACAGCAGTATTTAGATAATGAAGTGTTCATAAAAAAGTGAAATAAACTTCAATAAACTGTTGTGGACAGAGTCGTTTGTTTATGTAGGCCTCCTGTAGCTCAATTGGTAGAGCATGGCGCTTGCAACGCCAGGGTTGTGGGTTTGATTCCCACGGGGGCCAGTATGAAAAATGTATACACTCACTAACTGTATGTCGCTCTGGATAAGAGCGTCTGCTAAAATGACAAAAAAAAAATGTATGTACTCTACTGCGAGTGCAGGGTAGGGAGCAGTATGTGATTTGAGTTGGTTCCCCAGTGGTCTGGTGTGGGACCTCTCTCTTTCTCACCGAGATGAAGTTGCGCTCTAAGGCCACGCGGACGTTGGTCTCAATGCTGGTGCGTTTCTTCCTGCGGCGCCCCGTCATGCCCTCAAACCCCATCATGGGGGAGGAGAGAGAGCTGGGGCTGGGAAGCATGCTGTCTATGGCCATGGTCTCTGCATCGTTTAGCCACTTCTCAAGCAGAGGCTTGAGCTTGCACATATTCTTAAAGCTCAGGTTGAGGGCCTCGAAGCGAGAGATTGTGGTCTGGCTGAAGTCATTCCCATACAGTTTCCCCATCGCCATGCCAACGTCACCCTGGGGGGAGAGATAATTAGTGTTAAACAGTCATCTTCATTCAGGCCTCAAATTGCTCACGCTCCTCTTGACCACATCTCACACACACACACACACACACACACACGCACACACACACAAACGTACCTGTGTGAACCCCAGTTTGATACGTCTCTGTTTGAAGGTGCGGGCGAACTGCTCCAGCTCCTCCAGGTCACTGGGCTCCTCGCCATGCGGGCCAGAGGTCACCGAAGTCATGGGGGCGGCTGAGGCCCCGGAGGACACGCCGCCGTCGCCGCTCTTGTCCCTCTGTAACGACGAGAGGCCGTCACCATGACGACACTACAGTACATGAGACATAAACCTATATCATTCCTGTGGAATGGCGAGGGGTGGCTGGCACACTGACATTAGCTGCTTTTGAAGGTTGATGAAAGAACTATGGCGAGGTTGTGAAGATGCATTCGTACAACATTTTATTGTATAAGAGAACAGCTATGGCTATAAATGGCTATGGATGGTTTCTTGACTTCAGGTAAGACATTCATCCATCAACAAAAAGCAATGGGGGAAAAAAGTATTTAGTCAGCCACCAATTGTGCAAGTTCTCCCACTTAAAAAGATGAGAGTGGCCTGTAATTTTCATCATAGGTACACGTCAACTATGACAGACAAAATGAGAAGAAAAAATCCAGAAAATCACATTGTAGGATTTTTTATGAATTTATTTGCAAATTATGTTGGAAAATAAGTATTTGGTCAATAACAAAAGTTTCTCAATACTTTGTTATATACCCTTTGTTGGCAATGACACAGGTCAAACGTTTTCTGTAAGTCTTCACAAGGTTTTCACACACTGTTGCTGGTATTTTGGCCCATTCCTCCATGCAGATCTCCTCTAGAGCAGTGATGTTTTGGGGCTGTCGCTGGGCAACACGGACTTTCAACTCCCTCCAAAGATTTTCTATGGGGTTGAGATCTGGAGACTGGCTAGGCCACTCCAGGACCTTGAAATGCTTCTTACGAAGCCACTCCTTCGTTGCCCGGGCGGTGTGTTTGGGATCATTGTCATGCTGAAAGACCCAGCCACGTTTAATCTTCAATGCCCTTGCTGATGGAAGGAGGTTTTCACTCAAAATCTCACGACACATGGCCCCATTCATTCTTTCCTTTACACGTATCAGTCGTCCTGGTCCCTTTGCAGAAAAACAGCCCCAAGGCATGATGTTTCCACCCCCATGCTTCACAGTAGGTATGGTGTTCTTTGGATGCAACTTAGCATTCTTTGTCCTCCAAACACGACGAGTTGAGTTTTTACCAAAATGTTCTATTTTGGTTTCATCTGACCATATGACATTCTCCCAATCCTCTTCTGGATCATCCAAATGCACTCTAGCAAACTTCAGAGGGGCCTGGACATGTACTGGCTTAAGCAGGGGGACACGTCTGGCACTGCAGGATTTGAGTCCCTGGCGGCGTAGTGTGTTACTGATGGTAGGCTTTGTTACTTTGGTCCCAGCTCTCTGCAGGTCATTCACTAGGTCCCCCCGTGTGGTTCTGGGATTTTTGCTCACCGTTCTTGTGATCATTTTGACCCCACGGGGTGAGATCTTGTGTGGAGCCCCAGATCGAGGGAGATTATCAGTGGTCTTGTATGTCTTCCATTTCCTAATAATTGCTCCCACAGTTGATTTCTTCAAACCAAGCTGCTTACCTATTGCAGATTCAGTCTTCCCAGCCTGGTGCAGGTCTACAATTTTGTTTCTGGTGTCCTTTGACAGCTCTTTGGTCTTGGCCATAGTGGAGTTTGGAGTGTGACTGTTTGAGGTTGTGGACAGGTGTCTTTTATACTGATAACAAGTTCAAACAGGTGCCATTAATACAGGTAACGAGTGGAGGACAGAGGAGCCTCTTAAAGAAGAAGTTACAGGTCTGTGAGAGCCAGAAATATTGCTTGTTTGTAGGCTTAATTTGCAAATAAATTCATAAAAAATCCTACAATGTGATTTTCTGGAATTTTTCTCTCAATTTGTCTGTCATAGTTGACGTGTACCTATGATGAAAATTACAGGCCTCTCTCATCTTTTTAAGTGGGAGAACTTGCACAATTGGTGGCTGACTAAATACTTTTTTCCCCCACTGTATTTGAATTAGCTTACCAATGCTAAAACTGGATCTCAATTCAAGCACACTCTCTGGGTTACTGGTTTGGTTTTGATTAGATCAGTGTTTGGATCAATGCACCAGCACTGATTCAACAGAGCTCTTTGATTTCTGCTTGTAGAGGCCAATCCCTACTGTACTTACAAGTATGTGGTACGGTATGTTATAAAGTGTAGTCTCAACACACACACATATTTGAGGTGGTTTTCAATAATACTGTACCTGTGCTTGCAGTCCTTGCCTGGGTGGAGTGGTTAGAATACCGCCCTGGCTTTGCTGATGCTGAGGTAGTGAAATTAAATTAGGTGTCGAGAGCAAACCTGTGGAAGACAACGGAGAAGCAGTTAATACACTATTAACACTATAAAATATTGTAATTATATGAACATTATTTTATTGTATTTTAACTGTATTCTAACAACTTTATTATAACTTGTTTTAGAACTAAGCAGTAATGCCAAGTTATACATGATATTTTGTGCAAAGAGTAAGTCACAGTGTTGATGGTGGTTCCCACTTACTTAGTAGGTCCCACTTACCCTGCTGCCCCTGTTGTCCCTGGGCCTGAGGCAGGAGGAACTGAGGAGACTGCAGGTGGTGGCCGGGCATCAGGACTAACTGCTGCAGCTGCAGCAGCTGCTGGATATCCTACAGGAGGAACAGAGAGGGGGAGCAAGAGAGAGATGTCAACAAGTCATGTATGATTTCTGAACAGAGCAACATACACACACACCCTTGGAGGAAATATAATGCAAAGAAATGAGCAAAGAACCAAAATGTGCACAGCCCCAGCCTTTAAAGTAACATCACCCAAGAGTATATAGAGAAACACTTCTGACATAGACGAGTGTTGGTCAGTGAGTTAGATTGGCTTAAAGCTGGTCATATCTGATCCGTGACTGACCGCTCCTACCTGGGCGGTGAGCTGGATAGGCTGAGAGAGGGTGAGCTGGGGCGGGGTTTGCTCCTGTTTGGTCAACTGCTGCTGCTGCTGCTGTTGTTGTTGCTGCTGCTGCTGCTGCTGATTGGCTTGGGCGGCTGCGTGGGCGGCATGAGCAGCGTGAGCCGCGTTGGACTGCTGCACGGCGGCGGCCAGGAGCTGAGCCTGGGCCTGTTGAAGCAACAGCTGCTGCTGTGCAGGCAAGAGGGCAGCCAGCTGAGGCAGAGGAGGAAGAGGGGGAAGAGGTGGAGGAAAGGGTAGGGTTTGCCCAAAGAGAGAAGGGGGAAAAAGCAAAAGAGGTAGAGAATAGTGTCAGCCAGCATTTGAGCAGGCAGTAAGAGGCAGGGGTGGGATCAATTCCATTTTAATTCAGTCAATTCAGGAATGAGGAAAATTTGAATTTTTGTTTACTTCCTGAATCGACAGAATTGAGTTGAAATGGAATTCGCCCCAACCTTGGTAAGATGCAAGCAAGAGCAAGGGCGAAGCAGAAGAAGCCTACCCTAACCACCTACACACTACACTCTTAGAAAATGTTTTGCTATCTAGAACTTTAAATGGTTCTTCGGCTATCTCCATAGGAGAACCCTTTGAAGAACACGTTTTGGTTCCAGGTAGAACCATTTTGGGTTTCATGTAGAACCCTTTCTACAGAGGGTTCTACATGAATCCCAAAAGGGTTCTACCTGGAACCAAAAATGGTTCTGCCTGGAACCAAAAAGGGTTCTCCTATGGGGACAGCTGAAGAACCCTTTTGGAACCCTTTTTTCTAAGTGTGTACATTCAGCTAGTGTGTCTGTGCCAGTGCTTACCCCAGCAAGCTGACTCCCTGCCAACATGAGTTGTGTGTGAGGGTGAGGTGTCTGCTGCTGGGAGGGAAGCGGCACATGGGTGGAGGTCATCTCAGGGCCAGCCTCACTTTTACTCTGCAGGAGGAATAATATCTAAACATTGAATAGGGTGAAAACTCAACAGGTAAATACATGCAAAAGAGTAATCATGAAAATACATGTTTGTTTGGCATCTGGTACACAGGCCTCAGTCTAGTTGCCAAAATGGGTCCCTTAAATGGACAGAAATATGGTCCAGAAATAACTTGATTGGAGCAAAAACATATTTTTTGCCTAAAACTAAGGATTAGGGTGGTTTATTAGATAAAAATGTATTAATATTAGAGTATCATCTATATACCGTATGAACCACACAGCCAAAATTCAAGACATAGACAATTAGCAACTTCCACTATTTTTTACTGAATTACATACATAACTGATTTTCTATGCATACTGTATCACCAGTCACACAATACTATACAATGAAATAAAGAGTAATTTTTAATAAAGAAGTTAAAGTAAAAAATGGAATCTGCAATAAATAAAAATATGTCAACAGATATTTTTCAAGTCTCCTGCTCTTGTCAGTAAACGAGTCTTAACCCTTTTAACTTCACAACATCATTATAATGAATTTACTGTATATACAGTACCAGTCAAAATTTTGGACACACTTACTAATTCAAGGGTTTTTCTTTATTTGTACTATTTTCTACATTGTAGAATAATAGTGAAGACATCAAAACTATAATATAACACATATGGAATCATGTAGTAACCAAAAAAGTGTTAAACAAAACAAATATATTTTATATTTGAGATTCTTCAAAGTAGCCACCCTTTGCCTTGATGACAGCTTTGCACACTATTGGCATTCTCTCAACCAGCTTCATGAGGTAGTCACCTGGAATGCATTTCAATTAACAGGTGTGTCTTGTTAAAAGTTCATTTGTGGAATTTCTTTCCTTCTTAATGCTTTTGAGCCAATCAGTTGTGTTGTGACAAGGTAGGGGTGGTATACAGAAGATAGCCCTATTTGGTAAAAGACCAAGTCCATATTATGGCAAGAACAGCTCAAATAAACAAAGAGAAACGACAGTCCATCATTACTTTAAGACATTAAGGTCAGTCAATACGGAACATTTCAAGAACTTTGAAAGTTTAATCAAGTGCAGTCGCAAAAACCATCAAGCGCTATGATGAAACTGGCTCTCACAGGAAAGGAAGACCCAGAGTTCGCTTTGCTGCAGAGGATAAGTTCATTAGAGTTAACTGCACCTCAGATTGCAGCCCAAATAAATGCTTCACAGAGTTCAAGTAACAGGCACATCTAAACATCAACTGTTCAGAGGACACTGCGTGAATCAGGCCTTCATGGTCAAATTGCTGCAAAGAAACCACTACTAAAGGACACCAATAATAAGAAGAGACTTGCTTGGGCCAAGAAACACGAGCAATGGACATTACATTTACATTTAAGTCATTTAGCAGACACTCTTATCCAGAGCGACTTACAAATTAGACGGGTGGAAATCTGTCCTTTGGTCTGATGAGTCCAAATTTGATATTTTTGGTTCCAACATCCGTGTCTATGTGAGACGCAGAGTAGGTGAACGGATGATCTCCGCATATGTGGTTCCCACCGTGAAGCATGGAGGAGGAGTTATGATGGTGTGGGGGTGCTTTGCTGGTGACACTGTCTATGATTTATTTAGAATTCAAGGCACACTTAACCAGCATGGCTACCACAGCATTCTGCAGCGATACGCCATCCCATCTGGTTTGCACTTAGTGGGACTATCATTTGTTTTTCAACAGGACAATGACCCAAAACACACATCCAGGCTGTGTAAGGGCTATTTGACCAAGAAGGAGAGTGATGGAATGCTGCATCAGATGACCTGGCCTCCACAATCACCAGACCTCAACCCAATTGAGATGGTTTGGGATGAGTTGGACCGCAGAGTGAAGGAAAAGCAGCCAACAAGTGCTCAGCATATGTGCGAACTCAAGACTGTTGGAAAAGCATTCCAGGTGACTAACTCATGAAGCTGGTTGAGAGAATGCCAAGAGTGTGCAAAGCTGTCATCAAGGCAAAGGGTGGCTACTTTGAAGAATCTAAAATATATTTTGATTTGATTAACACTTTTTTGGTTACTACATGATTGATGTGTTATTTCATAGTTTTGATGTCATGATTCTATATGTGTTATTTCATAGTTTTGATGTCTTCACTATTATTCTACAATGTAGAAAATAGTAAAAATAAAGAAAAACCCTTGAAAGAGTATGTGTGTCCAAACTTTTGACTGGTACTGTCTTCAGAAAGTATTCAGACCCCTTGACTTTTTCCACATTTTGTTATGTTACAGCCTTATTCTAAAATTGATTAAATTGTTTTTTCCCCCCTCAATCTACACACAATATCCCATAATGACAAAGCAAAAATAGGTTAAGAAATTTTAGCAAATGTATTACAAATAAAAAACGGAAATATGACATTTACATAAGTATTCAGACCATTTACTCAGTCCTTTGTTGAAGCACCTTTGGCAGCGATTACAGCCTGGAGTCTTCTTGGGTATGACTTTACAAGCTTGGCACACCTGTATTTGGGGAGTTTCTCCCATTCTTCTTTGCAGATCCTCTCAAGCTCTGTCATGTTGGATGGGGAACATTGCTGCACAGCAATTTCCAGGTCTCTCCAGAGATGTTCGATCGGGTTCAAGTCCGGGCTCTCGCTGGGCCACTCAAGGACATTCAGAGACTTGTCCCGAAGCCACTCCTGCGTTGCCTTGGCTGTGTGCTTAGGGTCGTTGTCCTGTTGGAATGTGAACCTTCGCCCCCAGTCTGAGGTCCTGAGCGCTCTGGAGCAGGTTTTCATCAAGGATCTCTCTGTACGTTGCTCCGTTCATCTTTGCCTCGATCCTGACTAGTCTCCCAGTCCCTGCAGCTGAAAAACATCCCCACAGCATGATGCTGCCACCACCATGCTTCACCGTAGGGATGGTGCCAGGTTTCCTCCAGACATGACGCTTGGCATTCAGGCCAAAGAGTTCAATCTTGGTTTCATCAGACCAGATAATCTTGTTTCTCATGGTCTGAGAGTCGTTTAGGTGCCTTTTGTCAAACTCCAAGCGGGCTGTCATGTGCCTTTTACTGAGGAGTGGCTTCTGTCTGGCCACTCTACCATAAAGGCCTGATTGGTGGAGTGCTGCAGAGATGGTTGTCCTTCTGGAAGATTCTCCCATCTCCACATAGGAGCTCTAGAGCGCTGTCAGAGTGACCATTGGGTTCTTGGTCACCTAACTGACCAAGGCCCTTCTCCCCCGATTGCTCAGTTTCGCCAGGCGGCCAGGCTCTAGGAAGAGTGTTTGTGGTTCCAAACTTTTTCCATTCAAGAATGATGGAGGCCACTGTGTTCTTGGGGACCTTCAATGCTGCAGAAATGTTTTGGTACCCTTTCCCAGATCTGTGCCTCGACACAATCCTGTCTCGGAGTTCTACGGACAATTCCTTTGACCTCATAGCTTGGTTTTTGCTCTGACATGCAATGTCAACTGTGGGACCTTATATAGACAGGTGTGTGCCTTTCCAAATCATGTCCAATCAATGGAATTTACCACAGGTGGACTCAAATCAAGTTGAAGAAACATCTCAAGGATGATCAATGGAAACAGGATGCACCTGAGCTCAATTTTGTCTCATAGCAAAGGGTCTTAATACTTATGTAAATAAGGTATTTCTGTTTTTAATTTTTAATAAATTAGCAAAAATGTTTTTTAAAAACAACAACACAATTTTTTTTTTGCTTTGTCATTATGGGGTATGGTGTGTAGATTGCTGATTATTATTATTTTTTAAATCCATTTTAGAATATGGCTGTAACGTAACAAAATGTGGAAAAAGTTAAGGGGTTTGAATACTTTACGAAGTCACTGTATATATGGGTGATTTTGCAAATACGGGCCTTTTTGTGTCTCAGGGTTAGATTTTTAAGATAAAATGCTAATTTAGATGTTTTAATTTCACATCCATTCAGTAGAGACTAAAATAACCGTAAACTTATTTTTCAGCTTTCAATATTTCATGTCTGGATTTTACTGTTTTACACAGTTTTTGTCCTGCCTCAAACCCAGACTTTTTACATTCTGCTATGTATTACACTTACAAAAGTCTTGATAATTCGAAAATATTTAATGCACCTGTTTTAAAAAAATTGTCAAATAAATGGAAACTATATACATATTAATATAATAATAATATGCCATTTAGCAGACGCTTTTATCCAAAGCGACTTACAGTCATGTGTGCATACATTTTTACGTATTGGTGGTCCCGGGGATCGAACCCACTACTCTGGCGTTACAAGCGCCATGCTCTACCAATTGAGCTACAGAGGACCACATTAGCTGTGCATAAGCCATTTGTTACTTTTTTTTTACACAAAATACAGTCGTGTCTAAGTAGTCTGTCATTACCACCACGACAAGCAAATTACATGATAATACAAAATAAAAAAAGGTTTGTGTACTTGGTTACCATGGATATGAAGTGACAGTGGAGCACATGGATGTCATGGAGGGAAATTCTAATTTTGATGCCGGGAAATAATAGAAAAATAAAGGTAAATATTTGTATTGTACGTCATTACCAAATAGGCTATAATTTCATCAAATTATGTTTGATTTTTGAAATTATGTTTTAATTATGTGTATTTAGGATACACTGTATGCTAGCTGTTCAACTGGAGTTAGCATGCTAGAATCCCTGCTATTTATGACCAAATATGGTAAAAGTGTCATTCCCACCACACGTCATTACCACCACATAATGAACTGTGATAGTATGGACAGAATGTGGTGGTAATGACAAAATGTATTAGTTCATCAATTTTTACTAACCTTAAGACCTGAAAACAGACACAAATTACATATGTGATCATGGTTAAGTTGAAATTCAACACTTATTTGCTAAATAAGACCATTACATTTTGTATTATGTTAGGATAATTGAGTGATTTTGATGTCTATTTATGTGACTTACTATGGTTATTACTGACTATAAGATCCCCCTAAATCAACCAAGGAGAGGACAAGCACATACACTATATATACAAAGTATGTGGACACTCCTTCAAATTAGTGGATTTGGCAATTTCTTCCACACGAGTTGCTAAAAGGTGTATAAAATCAAGCACACAGCCATGCAATCTCTATAGACAAACACTGACAGTAGAATTGGCCTGTACTGAAGAGCTCAGTGACTTTCAACGTGGCACCGTCATAGGATGCCACCTTTCCAACAAGTCAGCTCGTCAAATTTCTGCCCTGCTAGAGCTGCCCCGGTCAACTTTAAGTGCTGTTATTGTGAAGTTGAAAGGTCTAGGAGCAACAACGGCTCAGCTGTGAAGTGGTAAGCCACACAAGCTCACAGAACGAGACCGCTGAGTGCTGAAGCTCGTCTGTCCTCGGTTGTAACACTCACTACCGTGTTCCAAACTGCTTCTGGAAGCAACGTCAGCAAAATAACTGTTTGTCGGGAGCTTCATGAAATGGGTTTCCATGGCCGAGTAGCCGCACACAAGCATAAGATCACCATGCGCAATGCAAAGCGTCGGCTGGAGTGGTGTAAAGGTAGCCGTCATTGGACTCTGGAGCAGTGGAAACGCGTTCTCTGGAGTGATCAATCACGCTTCACCATCTGGCAGTCCAATGAAAGAAATCTGGGTTTGGCGGATGCCCCAATGCAGAGTGCCAACTGTAAAGTTTGGTGGAGGACGAATAATGGTCTGGTGCTGTTTTTCATGGTTCAGGCTAGGCCCCTTAGTTCCAGTGAAGGGAAATCTTAACACTACAGCATACAATGGCATTCTAGACGATTCTGTGCTTCCAACTTTGTGGCAACAGTTTTGGGGAAGGCCCTTTCCTGTTTCAGCATGACAATGCTCCCGTGCACAAAGCGAGATCCATACAGAAATGGTTTGTTGAGATCGGTGTCGAAGAACTTGACTGGCCTGCACAGAGCCCTGACCTCAACCCCATCGAACACCTTTGGGATGAATTGGAACGAATGGTCTGTTCTATATCTTCAATCAAATTAAACATGTACAACTGTGACATTCAAATGTTTAATGGTATTTTTCATCAGTTGTTTTATCTGAAATGTCATTTCCACCACACGCTGTCATTACCACAAGCTAAGTCAGTATGAAAAAATAAAATGTATGCACTCACTAACTGAGTCCTCTGTAGCTCAGCTGGTAGAGCACGGCGCTTGTAACGCCAAGGTAGTGGGTTCGAACCCCGGGACCACCCATACACAAAAATGTATGCACGCATGACTGTAAGTCGCTTTGGATAAAAGCGTCTGCTAAATGGCATATTATTATTATTATTAACTGTAAGTCGCTCTGGATAAGAGGGTCTGCTAAATGACTAAAATGTAAAATTACCATCACGGTACATATTTGTGAGGAAAAGGTGTAATAAATTACAATTGAAAGTGATGATTTTTCCCATATGTGAATCTTATATGCTTGTTCTTAAGATAATTCCTAAAATAATGTAAAATATAAAGATTTTGACGTGGTAAATAAATACATGTTTCTGAGTATCATCAAGGCATATATGGACATTTAGACATGACAATGATGAATACATATAATAAATAAATAAAACAATTCATGTGAAATGTTATATAAAACACCTTAGGCACAATTTCTGTAATTTCCTTTTAAACTAAAATAGCAAATTTTATGACGTGGTGGTAATGACATTTCCCCTCGGGTATTTGGGGAAACCGATAAAAATCTTTATATTCTTAAATAGTATGGTTTCAGCCACTATTAGATCTTGTTTCCAGACAGAGTGAAGAAAATATTCAGATAGATAAAAAGCAGTTATAAGAGGTTTCATTTTCAAAAACATTTCACATCTGAAAGTGCGGTATTTGCAAAATCAACCATATATGAATTTGATCACCATTTTAGGCCCTAATGGGGGCCCACAACATATAGTACAAAATATATTACCATGCATAAAATGTTGAGCTCTGTTGTGTATATAATTTTAGAATATTCCAAGTTGGCTGATGATTTCTGACCTGAGGAAGCTCCTATCCATCCATCTACCCATAACACTCTTTTTTTCCTCGATCTCCCTTCATTTCTATATATCAATGTCTATAGTCTGTCTCTCTTAAGAGAAAGCAAAAGGTTTTTCCTCCTCTTCTGCAGCATGTCTTTATAAAGTGAGTTGTGCTCGTTCCTACTCTCTAGTTGTCAGGAGTTGATGGGCATGTCAGCATTCGTAATGGCCCAAACATCCTAATTTGCATATTGGCCAATGTCAATGCAGTACCACCTGAGGCATGTCTGTAGGGACTAAATAGATAAGCCACTCACACACACAAACACACACCATCTTTATCTCTCTCTCTCGCATGTGAGTGCACTAATTCACTCACCTTGGTGCTGCTCAAGGTAGAAGAAAGACTGAAGGGACTCGTTTTCATTGGCTGAACCTGTGAGGAGACGAAAGGCAACAAAAAACCCATTCAGACACAGATCTTTAAATCTATTAATGTGCAAAGCCATAAACACTGTTGCCATTCCAGGTTGATAGAATACCTTGATAGAACTCATCAATTGAATCCACGTGTCTCCTAATCATTTTCATTTTTACCTTAATTCAAACCTATCCAAAAAAAAGTATTACAGTAGGACCTTAGAGATAGGACAATTTTTAGGAATGGAGGTGGTCCTGAACACAGAAATGTCTGTAACACTTTGAAATTAACTTAAAGACAGCATCAAACCTTTATAGAAAATGTTGATTGCATATCTTTTCTAATAATTTAGCCAGATACTGTAAATATCTGATATGTTTTTAGCAAATCTACCCAGCATTTATGTTTGTCTGTAGCCTACAGAAGTTTTTTTGCATTTAGTAGGCCTACATGTCCCGGTTTAATTTTGCCCGTTCGATGACCGGTTGGTGCCTAACTCTGAGGTTTGTATCTTTGAGGTTCTACTGTATACACTTATTCAAATAATCTTATTACAACCTTAGAGCAAACAACAAGAATATATAAAAAACAAATAACAATAAATAAAACAACAAACTAAATTTTACATTCAATTAAATTAAATTGAGATGACAAACCTGATCATTTGCATCGGGACTGTTCCTCTCGGAGTCTGTAAGATAAAAAGAGGGTAAGAAAGACAGAGAAGAGAAAATAAAAAGTGAAAGATGGAATTCTAATAATCTACTGTAAATGCCTCAGGCTGTTGCCAAACTTGAAATAGGTTACTTCAAATGTAAATTACTAACATTCCACATCCTAGTTGTCAGCTAAATCTAGTAGAAACATAGGTGTGTCATGATATGACTCTGAGCTGTGACCTATATGGAGGTATTGTGTCACGTGCATAAGTCATTCAAACAGGCTGACTAAAACATTCTCATTTTCTATTCGGAAAATGTGAGAAACGTGACCAAAGTAGAAGATTTGAGGTCTGTTATTGTGGATGTTTTGTGTCATAGGGCGGCAAGGTAGCCTACAGCGGTTAAGAGCATTAGGCCTGTAACCGAAAGGTCGCTGGTTTGAATCCCCGAGCAGACTAGGTGAAAAATCTGTCAATGTGCACTTAACCTTAAATGTTGCCGTAAGTTGCTCTGGATAAGAGCATCTGCTAAATTACTTAAATGTAAACACATCCAAAAACAATACACCAGATTAGCCCACTCTTACCAATCAATATGAGAACACAGACAGATGTAAGCACACATACACACAACATACTTTCATTCAAACATTCCTATAAATGAAACAGGCCTAATGATGGCACACAATGATGATAACTGATATTAAAGCAACACATAATGCAGTCTCAAAATGGTTACCTGTGCTCTCCCCTGGAAAGTCTGCCCCAGGCTTCTCATCCTCTGCTGGTTTTGACATCCTGATATCTGCTGGGGAGAGAGGGAAGCAGGGTAAATATAACATGTTTCCAACTGACAAACATCCCCAGCCCAGCATATATGGAGGGATGAAGATGAGAGATTCACTGGGAGAAAATCCCTCATCCTTTCTTCCCAGTCCCTCCCTCCCTCCATCCATCTCTTCTTCTTCTCGGCTCACACAGTGGCTTCCCGAGTCAAGAGTGTCACAGGGCCATGTTCAGTCTTATGCAGTAAGACTCCAGAAAGCAGCCAAAGACAACATTTCCATCAGAGTGGTTTAATGAACACAAATGAAATGGTTAGGAAACCTGGCACAAGGCTAGGTGGCACAGATCAGTCTTTTCAAATACCCCCTCCCCCCCATAAATCCAACTAATCTGTTTGTAATAAAGTCAGCGTTTGGTAAAGGAATGTGATTTTCTGGAAGGGAAATTGCAGCATGAATAACAGTCATATGTTTTTACAGAATCGGAAAAATAAACGATTTCATGGCAAACATAAATGTGAAAGTGGTTTTCAAGATTTCCAAATACATTACATATAATAAATACACAATACAAATTATTATAATACATTTTTCACATAATTGGAGATATGAATACTGTAACTGTATCATATAGGCTAGGTCTACATATTTGGGAATGTCTGTCAAAAACCTCGATAATGTAATTGCATAGGTCTAGGCAAATGATTACAACAGGTAATTTTGCAGAATAGATAAGAGGCTCAAGTTGAAGTGAATTTATTTCGGCACACACGCTTTTGACAGAAATGTAGTATTCTCCAAATGTAGCCTTATGCCTCAAATAGATTTTAATTTGTTGAAATAAAAAATATTCTTCATAATTTGTCTTGAATAAATGAAAAAACAAAGGTTAAGTTCGACCTACAGCGAATGACACAACACGTTTTGAATAGAGATTTAACAAGCTAATAGGCTATACTTTTTGCATGCATATCTTATAAGATTTAGTAATAGTCTACACTTGTTTTAATTGCAGTATAGGCCTACCTATGTTATAATAGCTGCAGTAATTATATTTCAAATAATAATTAATTTTAGGCCTTATGAACCTGAAATGAACATATGTAGTGTCATGTGAACATGTCATGTCAACTCCGACATTTTCCATTCGATGTTTTTACCTCTAATGTAAATATCCACATGTGAATAGACAAACGTTTAGCCTAGCTGTTATGAAATCCTAAAAACTTCACATTTTCAAACAATGATACAATTCAAGAGTTACCTGGGTTATCGACATTCATGAGAAAATACACATATTTATTGGAAGCTTTGGTATGGTAGTGTCCTTCCTAAAATCAAGGCTGTATATTTGCGCGTGACTCATTTTGCATACCTGCAGATATCCTCAAGCCCAATGATTAATTTCGCGCCATTTATTGGGCCAAACAATGAGCCTAAATAGTTAACACAAGGCTAAAGTGAACACACTGTTTCATTACATTACTGACCAACAAAGCCTACTTGAAGAGGAGGTCAAATAGATTGTCTACAGTAATAAGCCTCTATGCGTATAAGCGAAACTTCGAGCATCTTCCACCCACCCGTTCAGTCTCTATAGGCATACCATTTCTATGAGCTTTTTTTGGATGCCTAAATTCTTCCACTTTCAACACTAACACCATGGTGAGTCACTGGTTTAGCCTTCTTACAATTCTAATGGCTCTAATTACAATTATAATAGGCCTATAATTATATGAAGTAAAAGTTGAGCGTGCTGCTCTGAGTAAAAACAATCAAACTGCAAATAATTCCACTAGCCTACCCTGAAACTGATCTCTCTGGTTCCTCCCCATTGTTTAAGTGAAATACAATTCATGGCAGTTGGGCGAATTGAGCCTGCTCTGAGATTTTCTTTACTAATAACAACCTAAATAAAATAAAAATCAGTAGGCTAACTTATCTTTCTAATTCCTCCCCTATGTGTAGGTGAACGGCAGGCAATAGACATACTACTGTATATGGCTGCGTGTTAATAGCTCATTTACATTTCCAGGAATGTGATCATAATCTTAGGGCAACCAAAGCAAAGTCCTGATTTGTGCCTTTCTGACCATAATGTCAATCTGACCTGTGATTCATTGTTATGGAATAGCCTACTACTTGACATACTTTACTTTCCATCACTAGTCTTCATATTGTATTGCCTCCATCCCCAGAAAGAGAGTGGGTGTTACAGAATAACACGAAGACATGCAAATACACACCGCCAAATACACACCGCCTAACAATGGTTATACACATCTAGAAGTAGCGGTGAAATGTTACCCTGGTAGCCTGTACATACATGAGTCTATGCTTTACGCGCGCGCGCGCACGCGCACACACACACGTTGATCTTCGTCAGGAGAGATGAACTGACATTTCATTACAACTATGACCGGCAGAGCTCGTTTTGATGTTCACAAATTAGCAGTGGTTGTTACTGACGGCAACGCTAATTAACCCCCAAAGCCTCCACCCCAGGAGAGACCATTAACCAGTAATTGGTACAAGACGAAGAGCGTAGTACTTACCTGGGAATCAGACATTATTGTGCGCCATAGCCACCATTTTACAGCAAGAAAGTAATTATTCTGTGCTGACCTTCCTGCTTTCTGTCTCTTTTTTGCCTTTCCTCTCTCTTTTTATTGTATTCTTTCCACATTCACTCTTTCACGCAAGGCCTAAGATGTAGCTACACAAATAATGCAAACTGAGCGTTTAAATCTATAGATATTAATATAGCTATAGCTGAGCCTGAATAGTCAAATGAGAGAACGAATAAATCATAAATGTGAATGTTAGGCCTGTTAGGGGTCAGGTTTTAGCTCTATTCTACATGCTAATATGTGAGTTTAAAGAGATGGTGATGATGAACAGGACCTTATCACCTCACTCTTAATCTCCCCTCCTCCCACTAGGACTGGTGCCACCCTTTCACCATCCCCCTCTTACACCCCCTTCCTCCTCCCCCCACATCCTGTAACACATGTAGTGCATGAGTGAAGGAAAGAACACTAGAAAGAGAGGGGGGTATTGGAAAAAATATGACAATGCAGGTCATGTTTTGAGGGGGAAGCGGAAGGGGAGGGAACATTTTTCAGATGTAAGTGGTATATTGTCAAAACTCTAATGACAAAACTCTAAACTGATAACACTTGTATGTTCAGAACCTTTGATTGTGCATTCATTGAGGTTTCACACATCTTTCACCCCTGAGTCATTTATGCAAAATCTGTTTTCTGTGAAATGGCATGAGCACATAGGATCACCATTTAGTCATTTTAACTAGCATTTAATGAGAAAAAAGAAGAAACCCGCACACCGCTGTTATCAGTATCACTGCTCTTTATTAAGTTCTGGCGAAGGCCTTGAGGCAGATACGTGAAGCTTAATAAAGAGCAGTGATACTAGCAAGAGCAGTGTGCAGGTTTCTTATTTTTTCTCATGTTATTCAACTGTTACCATGCACCTGCAACAAAGATAGCTCCGATGTGTGAGTGCCTTTTGAATTTACCATTTAATCCAATAGCAAAAAATACAAGATACACATTTCAAAACTGTTATTTTTGAAGTGCTCAATAGAAGGAGTAGTAGATGGTAAATATACTTTTCTATACAGTATTTGACTATACCCTGACATGCACAATTTTTTATAATTTGTATCCAATGGCAGGTTGTGAGCATGTTGAGAAATGTGTCAGTCTTGCTGTTTCATTATCCTTATATAGTACATACGTAGGACAAACAATCAGAAATAAGGGTATTGTAAAGCTACTGTAAAAATGTATCACGGTGTTGTATGCCATTTCTGCCCCATGCAACATTTTACAAGATCACCTTTTCTACGTGATTTGTCAGCTGATACAGTATTGCCTGTCTCTCTGCTTGAAATTCATCAGCTTACAGTGTATCAATGAAATTCAGATAATGAGTGGAAAATATTGTTATATACCACCCAGGTATTTCAGCAGTGCATTGTACACCTCACTATCATTCCAAATGGTAGCACATAGTGACTCTTTTCACTTTGTACTATTGAAGCACACTGGCTGATGGAGAATTATGATGTAGTATTTACAGCCACATCCATATATGATTTGGTTTTACCTTCCAACATAAATTGATGTCAAATTGATACAGTGTTCAGCAGTTATCAAACTATATACGTTAACTAGGCTTAACATCATTTTTGTTCAGTAGTTATCTGTTTTGAGCAGTTTGATTAAGTGATAGTTAATTGTATTGTAAAGAAATGGCAAGAAAATCCTATCAAAATTAAAGTGAATATGCATTTTGAAAAGCAGACCCTTACAAAAAAAGATTGCCATTTTGAAACTGTAGTAAAAGTGCAGTAACTACCGTCGACTGTGGTATTTTGGACGTAGTGATTGCAGAATAACTGCTGTGTACTGCAGTTGAACTGCAGTCATATTGCACTGTAACTGCAGTTACACTGCAAAATTACTGCTGTAAAAAAAAAAAGGTTTTATTTTGGACACAGTATTTGCAGCCTAGACTAAAGTGTACTGCAGTTATACTGCACTCTGACTGCAATCTTTTTTCGTAAGGGGATACTTACAGTGTATTCTGAAAATATTCAGACCTCTTCCCTTTTTCCACATTTTGTTAAATTAGTCTTATTCTATAATTGATAAAATTATTGTTTTACCTCATCAATCTACACACAATACCCCATTATGACAAATCGAAAACAGGTTTTTAGAAATGTAAAAAAAATAAAATAAAAATAATAATAATTATTTACATAAGTATTCAGACCCTTTGCTATGAGCCTCAAAATTGAGCTCAGGTGCATCCTGTTTCCACTGATCATCCTTGAGATGTTTCTACAACTTGATGGGAGTCCACCTGTGGTAAATTCAATTGATTGGACATGATTTGGAAAGGCACACACCTGTTTATATAAGGTCCCACAGCTGACAGTGCATGTCAGAGCAAAAACCAAGCCATGAGGTTGAAGGAATTGTCCGTAGAGCTCCGAGACAGAATTGTGTCGAGGCACAGATCTGGGGAAGGGTACAAAAAAAATTCTGCAGCATTGAAGGTCCCCAAGCACACAGTGGCCTCCATCATTCTTAAATGGAATAAGTTTGGAACCACGAAGACTCTTCCTAGAGCTGGTCGCC